TACCTTTCTAGTTTTATTACAAATACATAATTAATATAACAATTTATAATTGATAATTGAAATGTCAGCAGCGTTGCTTAATATGTGTTTTTCATTACCACATAAACATATCAATATATCTCCGACCGTCCTTAAAGTACTCTTTATATTTATTTTATAATGCATTATTGTATAATGAAATTATATTTATGACACAAACACTTACATCAACTCCCAAGTGCAAAATTAAGTGCTTGATAACTTTTTCTTGAATATTGAGATACATAATTGATATTATAATGCGTTGTTGCTGAACTTTGATAGCATCTGATAATAAACAAAGTATAACAGGCAGTAAATATCTACAACATGATCACTACTGCTACGATATTTATCGACTGCTTAAAGGTCAACTTGACCTTTCATACACTTTGCACGTACCTCTTTTTTGGTCCAGCACGTTCTGTAAACAATTGGCTGCTATACTCATAAAAAATACTGATAATATTTAACTGCATTTATAATACTGGCTTAAAAAAAGAATACTTTTTCAGTTGTAAGTCCTTGAAAAAATGTTTGAAATTTCAAAAAAGATATGCCATTTTAAACAGCATACTATTGGATTATTGGTTTCTCCTTTGTCGTCTTCTTCGTGACTTTTCGACATCATCATCATCATCATCATCATCATCATCATCATCATCATCAACAACAACAACAACAACAACAACAACAACAACAGCAGCAGCAGCAGCAGCAATTTAAGCAGCGGCAGCAGCAGAATCATCATGATCATCATCATTTTTTATAATCGCCAACATTTTCATCATGAACAATCTCTGTCATCATTATTATCACCAGTCATCATTACAATCATCATTATCAACATCATTATACTCGTCATTATCATAATTATCTCCACCATCATCGTCATCATCATTGGTCCTTTCTTGAATAGATTTACCGAGAATATCTGACAGTCATAATACAACTTGGCGTGGGATTTTAACTGCATTTTATACCTTTGCAAAAAATCAGCTTTGCTAATAGCATATACGCAATTACAACTAACAGCCTCATTAAATCTAAAAACCAGATTATTAAAGCAAGTGGATTTTCTGTTAACTGTATAGAAAAATGATGAGCCGTCTACACTGATTCCTTTTGCACAGAGACAGAAAATCGAAGACTGTTAAAATACTGGCTATTGATTTGTATTTCTTATCACACGTTCTTGAATGATATAACATAACGACTATTCATGACGACTCTAATCCCACGGTTAACTAGGTTAAATTCTTATTAAGTAACAATGGCGGCTGTCAGTTGTCACTAATTCCGCCGCGGCTCTGATCAATCATTATCGTTGTCGTCGTCGCATAAGTTGCCAATAAAGGGGATCATTTTTAAGTGATCGTTCAGTTTTTTATGTGTTTAATGCTTGTTGCATGTTTGAAACGTCTATTTTCATTGGACAGACATTGCGTTTATATCATTTATGCATGCATGTGTTGAATATTTATGAATTCATTTTGTTTTTGAATAAATTATGGAAAGCATCTCTGTGTTACTTAAATTTCCTAACAAAGATTTTAAAGGGTATATTGCTTAAGGACATAAAGATAATTAAATAACTCCAAAAGTTATTTCAATTAAACTTAGATTTCTTTCAGCTTGTAGATGACATTTTTCTTTGTTCTCAAAGAAAAGTTCCAATCATTTCTGAAAAAATAGAACTGAATATGAATATGAATTTGGTCATAAAGGTATTAAAATGTTACAAAGTGTTTTGACTTCCGTTTAAAACTCACTATACTTATTGCCAATGTGTAAAGGAAGCCAACCAAGACTCAGATATATCTAACTTTAAATTGTTTAAACTGTAAAATGACATCACAAGTAAATATTTTGTAAGTTTGCAGGGCCATTAAACCGAGCGTTTAGTATTCGTTACGTTTTTCATCTCTTATTTTCAAGTACAGAACAATACACTTCTATTTTATGTTATACACATATTTGTTATTAAGTTTTTAATCTCTATATTTCAGAAATGTTTGATACGGATAAATATCCTGAAAAACATGTAAGTATATTTTTTCAGAAAAACAAGTTTTGTCGATTTCCAACATAAAACACAATTTATATATGCAATAATCATTTGGTGATAAAAGCGCAGAAATCTTTCAATTTCATTACTCTTCCATAAGCTTCTAAATCAATTTATATGATATACACGTAGACATGCAACGGATCAATATTTAATTCATTTCTTTCTGCAAATTGTTCAATACTAACAGCCGCCATGTTGTTAATATTAGCTTTTGTGTCTGCTGATTTCTCAGAAATTTGTTTGCTGTTATATTGCTTTTATATTGAATAAAATGCAGATTTGAACTGAATGTAGGATATTGAATGCTAGTATTTATTTGTGTAAATAACATGATATGACGAAAATTTAGAAAGAAAAGCATGCGCTCCCAATTTGACAATTATAAAATTTGAATACACCGGAAGTGCGAATAATGTTAGTGTTGCCTTTATTTAATGATTATTTAGTTGTTTCATTTTGTGTGTGTAACTGTGTTTTTTCTTCTTCTGTGTGTGTATTTGTGTGTGTGTGTTTTTTTTCCGTTTTCTTTTTGTCTTCTTCTTATTATTATTATTAATCGTATTAATATTATAAGTAGTAGTAGTGGTAGTGGTAGTGGTAGTGCTGGTAGTAGTAGTAGTGGTGGTAGTGGTAGTGTTAGTGATAGTAATAGTGGTAGTGGTAGGAGAAGTAGGAGTAGTGGTGGTAGTGGTAGTGGCATTAATAGTGGTAGTGGTAGTAATAGTGGTAGTGGTAGTGTTAGTGGTAGTGTTAGTGGTAGTGTTAGTAATAGTAGTAGTAGGAAGTAGTAGAAGTGGTAGTTGTAGTGGTAGTGGTAGTAGTGGTGGTAGTGTTAGTAATAGAGGTAGTGTAAGTGGTAGAGGTAGTGTTAGTGGTAGTGGTAGTAACAGTGGCAGTGGAAGTCAAAGTAGTAGTAGTAGAAGTATTTAATGATAATAGGTTCGTAGGGTTCTTTTTATGTGTTTGTTTGTTTTTCTGTTTTGTCAGTTATTTGGCACTTTTGTTTTGTAAATAATTTACAGTTTAAAATACATTTATATAATTTTGTTCCAACCATTAACCAATTACAAATAACATATTTTAGTGCCTACTTGAATGTATTGTACGTGAAGTAAACGAAACCGCAAGGAGTATTATTCAAATAACAATCAGGATTTTGTAAATTAATGCGCCTATCTCACGCCCATTACTTTCACAAGTAAAGAGAAAGAAAACATAAAAGTTTTAAATGTACATTTTTGTCTAATGAAAATATATGTTTTCCTTGTTGACTGGTTTTTCGTTTACTGTTGAAAATCTGTCTAACTTCTCTTTACAAAAGACACTGACATTTCGAAAAATAAAATCCGTTTTAAAAAGAAGGAAGTCCATGCGTTATTTCCGACTGCCTTTTTTTTACTTTTACTACACTAATAATCTTTTCTTAAATAATACACTGCGAAGAAATGCACTAAATTTACGACAACTATTTGGATATGTGCCTGTACTTAAATGTCTCCAACTGCCATTATCCGGGTTATTAATATTGACAGCTTGTCACGTGCAGTGGTCCAAGAAACGTATAATCTCATTCAGGGTTTCGTAGACGCTTGAATCGGTCTACTGGGTGCTTTAGCAAGAAATAACGCGCGTTATGGAAGAAATGGTATCATATTCATGAAATACTTTATACCACATATCTTTTATACTAAGGCTTTACTCACATTTTTACATGTAGTTATTTGGTCGGTTCTGTTACGATTAATAGGAATTCAATATGACGTGTGTAATAATCAAATATCCGCGAAACTGTCCAATATATAACATATTGGATTGTATGGATAACACGACCTGTTTCAAAAATGCCTTACAGATAATGGAATTATTTCGTTGTTTATTTGATTATCAGAGTTGTAAAATTAAAGTAATACAAAAACTAATCGATTAATATCTAAAACGATATCTTAACATTATATGGGGATATTTTTTATATCATTTATAAGTTCACTATATAAATTATATAAGTTCAACATATAAATCGACTATATCTAAATTCATTCTTTTTTCTTCTTGTTATCCTTTTTCCCAGTATTTTTTATTGTATTAATAATTGTGTTTTTAACAAGCTTCATTATCAAAACATAATGATGATGATAATGATAATAATAATGATGATAATAATAATAATGATTATAATAAATTAAATAAAAATACTAATATTAATAATATTAATAATAATAATAATAATAATAATAATAATAATAATGCTAATAATACAAATAGAAATAATAAATATAATAATAATAAAAACTGAATAAAAAAACAGTAAAGCCAAATAATTTTGTAACGTTTTTCGTCTTTCTTGTTTTACCCAATCCGTTAAAGTCTAAGAATTGACCCACGTTTAATAATATATATATCTTGATATTATTTCATCAAATCCATCAATTCATATATAATCGAAACAGACTCCTGGAACATACCTTGTAAATGCTATAGAGACACGTTCGTTTATAATTGTGTGTAATATAATGTAAATAACTTAACAGACACTTCCCATCAACTATATAACATTTAACCGCAATAAATTGATTGAAACTGAAATTTATACTTTATTTTTTCGAGAGGAACTCATTCCGTTATATAAGATGGTGAAACAATAGTAATGCCTAGAATGCCTATTATTAAAGTGGTTTTGCCTATTATTTCAAATGCCGCGACTGAATGTAAAGTGACATTACTGGACAATTTGAAACGAAAAGCTTCTTCCGTACTCAAATAAATTGAAACAACCTTTTATCGACTTTTATATAATTTTCAAATATAAAATACGTAATCAGAGATGCAAATATTGATCAAAGGATACATTTTTCTCTTCATTTAAAAGTAATTGTTCTTTCGTCAAGATTCCCTTTTTTATATATTGATTAACTAATTCAGCACGGCATGTATTTTGTACATTACTTATTGACTTCGACAATTCACTTTTGACATTTTGGCTACATCTCCCTAACTGCCAATCCAAAACACTCGACGGCGTATATTACGGAGTAAAGGACATATTTAAGTTTCTCCAATATCAGCTTCGACCTTTACATATACAAACACTTTCTGTCCTCCGGAAAACGCGGAACAAGCAGACGACACACTGTAAGATTTCCGCTAAACTCCTTTTGACTAATAGAACGATTCCATGATTGGTTTTAGTTGCGGATATTTTATCTGTTCGAAGTTTGGACGATATTTTTTTTTCAATTCTGGAAATATCGATCTGAGAACAGTGAGGAATGCATGGCTGTACATCAATGCGATCAGTCGGTGGTTATTGTTAGCGGAATACAGTCGATACTTTGTAATAAAATCATAAAAAGCGGCTTCCATTCCGGCATTCTGATTTCAAAGACTTTAATTTGTTTGGAATTATGTGGACGTGTTACAGGAATAAGTTCATTATAAAAAGTGACAGTGGTCTAAATCAGTGTTCAATGAGCCGTTAGTTAAATATAGCACTCTAATAAAAAACGACTGATTTTATCTTTTTGGCTAATGAATGAGATAAAAAGCAGTTCAATATATATTGCTATGTACGCAGGAAGCGGTATTGTCTTGTTCGCATGATTGAAATTATGAATTATTTAGCAGGGCGGCATGTCCGCAATGATTCAAAGTTAATCAATTCTAGTAAACTGGTCAGTAACTTATTTTCAACTGGGTGTTTATTCGCCTGAAGCTCGTTACAGAATGAAGGTGACGTTGTTTTTATTATGCCGTGGAATACCTGCAAGGTGGTTTTCATTTTTCGACAAAATTTAATTTAACAGTTTATATGTGTCCGAAGAAGTTGTAATTAAACAGTTATTGTGCTAACATAAATATTTAATGATCTAACAGTGAAAAAGAAAGGATTGTTCTACAAGGATTTTGTTATACAGTTAAACACTATGAATGCGAAACCAACGCGCTTTTTTATTTTAGAAACAAAACAGTGTTCATATGATGAAAAAAAAATAAATGGAATTTAAATGTAGAAGTAGAAAAAAAACATTTCTATATCACAAGCGAGAGTAAAAAAGCTTGAGAAGTGAAATCCACGTCGAAAAAAAGTGCTGTAACGTTATCCTAAAATAACTAAAAGATAGATTACATATGGCTAATGAAAAAAAATGTCTTGAAAAAAACCAAATGAGGTCTACCAACTGGAACATCTGGTAAGCGTTCTCTAATTGAACGATATTCAAGTTTTTATCTTATTATTTTATTATTTCGCAAAAAAAAAATAGCCAGTCATTAACTTAAAATTTAGATGAATAAATAAAATACGTTATAAATATCGTAAATTATTGTTTCCTAGGTTCTATTTAATATTGTATCGTCAAGGAAAAGTCTGTCTATTGCAGAAGATTTCTTAATTTAAGATTTTATTTACAAGATGCACATGTTTTTTCGGATAATTGTGAAACAATATTAAGCATGTCTGTTTAGTTTGGTTGCAGAAACGACTTTAACAAAAAAAAAAAAACGACGACAACAAAATAAACTATAATAATATAAAACAAAACAAAGAAAAAAAACAAACTAAAAAAAAAAAAAAACAATCCAAACAAAAAAGTTTTGTATGGAAAAAATTATATTTTCATTTTTCCGTTTCGGCGTTTCCAAACTATTATTTGATGATGCAAAAGACCTAATGCTGTTACGATGCAAAGTAAAATAAATACATGCATGCTTATTTTTAAAAAACAAAAATGATAAATAAAGTCAATTATCCGAGTACAGCATAGATTTATTATGTTAAGAACAATACTTAAAATTCTTTATTTGTTTTATTTCTAGGCTTTAAAGGTTGACACTATACCGTAGACATATACAGCTCGGCTAATTTAATATTTAAATTGCTTTGGGAATTTAGTCAGTATTTCAAACTGCGTTAATTTGATAATGTTTCACTTAACATTTAGCAAGTCCCACCGGGAAGTAAAACAAATATAACAATTCAAATTTGTTTTAACGTTTTTATACAGTCAGTCTAAAAATAGGAGATTGCAATATTTCTGCTACCACACCAGAATTTTCAATCTATCTACCCAGATTGATCCTGTCGGTTACAAACTTTAGACGGAATTGGTGAATTATTTACGTTCAATCGCCAGATTTCTTAAATAGACTGCAGAAATCAATTGATGACATCTAACTTTCCTTTCCGCCGCCATTTTATTGCCTTTAGTCGCATAAATCATTACCTACCTACGGAAATTAGAAGGTCACATCGACTGTATATCAGACATACAATTGAGCCGCGTCATGACAAAACCAACATAATGGGTTTGCGACCAGCATGGATCCAGATCAGCCTGCGCATCCGCGCAGTCTAATCAGGATCCATGCTGTTCGCTTACAAACCTTATAACAAGTAGAGAACAGCATGGATCCTGATCAGACTGCGCGGATGCGCAGGCTGGTCTGAATCCATGCTGGTCGCAAACGCACTATGTTGGTTTTGTCATGGCGCGGCTCAATTGTTATTGCCCTATGTACATGAACCAGCAAAATATCAAAATCTGCACATTCCTACAAAGCTATTTCTGTGTGTTCATTGAAATGCAAAGATTCTAAGATAACACGTTACAGCCATCATTGCAAACACGCCTACTGATTTTAAAAATTCATTCTGTGATATAAAAAATCAAATCGTTATATAAAATTTAAATATCGTTCGTTTAACATTGATTCCACTGATTTCACAAATTGATTTAGTCATTTTTCTATCCAGATTTAGAATAGGAAAGTAAATATTTGAAACAATCAGTTCAGGTTACTCTATATTTTGAAGTATCTATATGATGTAACGTTAGTGCAAACACTGTATAGAGGTTCATATTTTTCTATTCAATAACTCTTCGTCTAAGTAAACAATGTTTTATTAGCATAATTACTTTATTGTTCCAATCAATTTTTCTGTTGCAAAGGTCAATAACCGGATTGTGTGTTAAACTTGCAGCATTTTTTTCTACCTGAACCCAGTTGCCGTCTACAGTGTTTTTATTACATCACGTGACGTCCGAAAATAAGAATGAACCCAAAGTTTCAAATCAATGTAAAAGTACCGAAAGACGAGTTACTTAGTCCGTTTAGTCACTCGGGAGAGGTAACGCAGTACAAGCCATTACAAAGCAATATACGGGCATATCTCTGCGGAAATGTATTGTGTAGTGACTGATTTTTATTCAATCTCATAAAGTCTGTATCAAAATGATCTGATTTGCAATTTGTTACTTGATAACGAGATTAAAAACGTACCAGGTTTTCGTTCGTGTTAAGCTGGCTGTTGAAGTTGATAATCCCGTGTTTTGAAATACGCTTTGAAAAACGCTATCATTGCAACGTTGCTTCAATTCCCTCGGAATCGGTTTTCGAGATTAACTGATGTAAACTTCAAACTTCAATGCAAATAAACGAATTAGTTTATCTCTCAGAAGTGTCGGTATCTACTCTGTAGCACGTTAATAATGCCTTTGCGTGTTAACAACATGCAGGGAGAAATAATAACTGTCTGCCCTAGGTCGCAAATTGAAAGTATGCCTTACAATTTTTTTATGTCGCATCTCCGTAGATAGACATTTGATACATTATCAATACATATCAGACAATGTCGAAACCAAACCAATCCTTTAATCTTGTTACCGAAGATTACCATCTTAGAATTATTCAATGTTTTTTGCTTGATAATTTCAATGAAAGGTTTAACATTCAGTAACCTAATCACCTACTTGTTTTACCTGTACACGTTGTTCGACGCAGCTGCATTGAGAGAAAATTTATCAGAACATTGTGATGGCGTTTGAGATACGCGCTAAGATAGGACACGAAATTTGAAACCAAGTCATTACGGAATAAATGGAAAAGTCAATAGACCTAATGAGATGTGTCGTTACAAACGATTTACGTAATGAAACTCATAGAAAGTTGTCTAATGATTTATTTATCCTATAAATAAGACAAATTGAAGGTAACACAAACTTTAATCCGGTAAAAATTGCAGTAATAAGTTCATTTGGTTCAAATATTGATAATCTAACGACCGAAAGTGAGAGCCTCTTTCAAAATACACAGGAGGGAAAGTGGTATATCCTTTAAGTACGCCGGCCTTTGAATTGCCGACTGCTTAATTATGTAGTTTAAATCTTAAAATAATTTTATAAAAATCTACAAAAGAAAACAATTATAACAAATCTTTTTTTGAAGACAGTGCCTTTAGTTTTCATGATTAGGATGTATTTTGTGAGCTTTAAAAAATATCATAAAAAGTTACACATTTTCAAGCAATAAATATATTCACATCGCTATAACAAGTATCTATGTGACTGGTTTTTTTGCAAAGTGTATTTGGTCAACTATTTTTTAAATTGAAAAGTAAAATCATGGATGATGAAAATAAGTTCAAAGATATTGATTACTTCGCCATGTCCGTTTTGAATCTGTTTCTATTAAATAGTTGTGAAATACTGTAAGAATAAAACATGAATACTGGTTTGCAAAATTATCGGTTTCTTAAATGTTGTTAATAAATTCAAGTAAGTGTTGCAACTGAAACGATCAAGAACAGAATATAATATTGATTTCTGTTTCGGACCTGAGCATAGCTCCTCGTCCACATAAATAGTGATTTCAATACATAATCAATCAGTCATTTAGTCTTCAGTATGAACTATAAAATTTTCCAAAATAAATCACTAAATACTTTTTTTCCTGTTTTAACACAACACTTTTATGAAATGATTTTTTATAGGATATTATATAGATAATTGCAATGTATATAAATGAAATGATATTGTTTCATTTTCATGCAAATTCGGTCGTAAGGAGCTTGAAATTTCAGGTTAAATCGCTTATTTTGAGACTATTTTCCCTTTTTTCCTCTCTTTTTCTCTCTCTCTGTGTTTTGTACACAAAGATTATGGTATCTGTATAAACATGTTGGCGCCTGAAAATATATATGGGTGGATTCTACTCCTGAGCGGAAGGGAAAAAACAACAGCAGCACGAGTATTGATTGAGGCAGATATGTTATTTACTTGTTATGTCCACGCCATGAAATCGCAAATCATCCCGGTCGATCCATCCCCCATCGCGTGCCGTGCATCATTATTCCTCGAACATGTTGATTTGGATTACGGCACACAATAAAGCAGCGAATTGTACTTGTTATTTATCTATTGAACGACTTACATCTTATAAACTTTGCATGGAGAGCCAATTAATATCGGTAAATCTTACTAGTATTTCATACGTTTGTAAGCTGATAATCTGGCCGAGGATCAATAGGTCAACTGAAGAACTATCTTAACTATGCATCGACATTCTTGTTTGTCCAGTTGGTAATATCGGAAATAGCCATTGTTTGAGTCAATAAGCCTTGGCAAACACCTCTAATCTGCCGTGGTCAAATTTAATTAAAAACGTTCCCTGGGTCCTAATTGGTGACTGTTTATTGATTGCGGGAAGCGTAATACAATTTATTGCGTTTAGATGATGCGCGGCTAATGTAATTGCACTTGCTTGACTAGACTTGAACTGGAATCTTTCAGAAATAAATCGTATCACAGTTTTACAAGATTACATCGGTCTATCTCGTAAAAATAGATTTGATTGAAAAGTAAAGTTTAACATCTTTGAATCTAACAATTGAATCCAAGAAGAACCGATTACAAATTATATTTTTATGTAAAATTGTTTCAGATTTTGAAGTGTGTTTATTTCATCCATAAAATCAGTTAACTTATTAACAAAAAAAGAAAGAAAAAAAAAGAATCAATAAAAAAATATTTTTAAAAAAAACGTACCATTGTATGATGTTTTCTTTTACGTAAAAACTTGTGTAGATTTGAATTGTTTGGTCTTTGCCGGGTACTCTTGCTTATTTATAAACCAAAAAAAAAAAAAAAAGATTGTATTTTTCTACAAAGTAAAACGCTGTTTATATTATAAGAATTAGTTTCGAATTCCTTTGGAAAAAAAAGATCTCACGAGTAGTTGAACTTTAATTGTATGGGTAACATAACTTCTCGGAATTTTCTGAATAATTTTCAATTAGAAGACAAGGATTGCCTAACATCACCCATTTTCTGCCTCGCATGTTTTGTTATTTGATGCACAAATCGGCTTAAAGACAATTTAAGCTGATTGCATTAGCGGTAATCTATCGCAAGAC